CCTTTACAACAGAAAGCTGATGACGATTTAGACAGGACACAAAATTGTGAAAGTAGGGGAATATAAAGTGAACTGGTTTTTAATCAGAAAAAGTTATGTTAGTATTGTATTTAATATAAGATATCGAAGAATCGCGACAAATTAAATATTCGCAGTTTTCCGCGCTGTCGTCGTCAAATGAAACTTGGTTTAGTATTTTATTTTAATGGAAAAATGTAGTTTCTGTATTTAATTTCCAAGATATTTTATCAAAATTTAAATTTTATAATTAATATTATAATTAAAATTGTGTACATTTTTTTCTCATTTACTTAATTTTAAACATTATACATTTAATATCAATGAGCACTCATGATAGAATCATTACAAACGTTATTCTAACCGTCATTCAATCTTTACGTTCTCGTTTATCGAATGAGGATGATGTATATAGATAATGATATAGGAACGACCGAATTGCGGCCAGCTTTGCTGCGACTTCGCGACGATGAGGAACACTAAAGTTAGACTGGCTGATCTCTAGTGTTAGTGCCAATGTTTCCATAATTCATAAGAGTCGGCGTGATCAACGACGCTAGCATTTCTTTTATTCATCTTATGGTTCCATTCGCTGGACCTAGTCGACACGAGTCGTTCTCCGTGCTCCATGCTGCGGATTGCGGATTGCGGATTGCGGATTGCGGCGCGTTCTGCGTAATGGGTATGCGACGGGAAATCTACGTTCGGCCGAGTCAACAAGTGATACCTATCGATCCTGCTTGTCAGTTTAGCTCGTTTCGGTCCCTACCCCATTTTTTCTTTCCTCTCTCTCTCTCTCTTCAAATACTTTGGTGCGACACGTATGGTGGATATGATCATACGTATCACGAAAGGGAACATGTTGTGAAACAGGATGATTATTCGCAAATAGTCCTTTCGCGGGTTTGTTTCTAATCTCGGTTATGAATATGACTCGTGGAATAGAACGAATGCATTTGTCTGCAATAACTAGGTAATATAAAAGTTTTAACAAACGAAAGAAAAATTAATTGTTTTTCCCAATTTAGACAAATTTATTGTAATGCTAAGTAGTCATATTAACAAGATATAGCGAGATTTAATTTAGCCACTTTTCTGCACTTGATAATGTTACATCTTTGAGATATTCAAAGATTCATGCAGATGTATGGGCGATCGTGATTTTGGAGATTAGTCGGTCTCTCTGCAAACTAAAGCTAACTTGAGTGCAGAGATATTGCTCGATCAACTATCCTTGGAATAACAGAGTTGTCGGATAACGAGGTTTCCGTGTGTCGAAGATAGTTTGATAATCGTCTTACCGTTTTAACGAATTACCAGAAGCGTCCAATGAATGCCTTCTGATAGTTTGGGAAATTCTGTTCTATTGTACGTCGATGATTGCATGTTTTTGCGTGTGTGTGTATGTGAAAAACTATATACATACATAAATTGTGAAAAGTATATTTCAAAAGTTAGTATAACATTCCTCTACTTTTACTTTGACATTTTTAATTGATTCGTTAAAAAATTATTTGTTTTTCGAAATTTTATTTTTTATTTAGTCGTCATTTTTTAGAAAGGCCTGAGCTTGCAAATGTAATCGCAGTGAGAGCATTAGCGCCGCGCACACAGCTATGTCAAGGTGTGGCTTTGAGGATCGATACTTGTGTGTTAGTTCTCTCTCATTCTCTCTCTCTCCTCCCTCCTCCTTCACTTTTCCATTTCTCTCCTCTTATTTTACTTCTCTCGTGCGCAAAGCTCTACCACAATCGTTACCATCAATTTTTTCCATTACGCCGTAGCAAAAAAATCATACATATTTACGTGTACACATATACGTATACGTACATATATAATATTCTATTTCTCGGACTGATTAAAGTTTCTTGAAGTAAAAAAGCGAATTTTATTCTTGAATTTCTTTTTACTTCAGGCTGCAGAACGGAATGTGTTTTATAAAACAAGTAAATAGATAAAGTTTTATTAATAATAGTCGCTTTAGTATTCCTGCGATATTTTATAAGATCGAAGGAGATTGAAGTGTGAGAAGTGGATATTGGATTTTCCCCTCTTTTCTCATGGTCCTGAGAATCATTTGAAAAGAATACTGCAAATGGAAAGATACATTCGTGTGAACTTTGATTCCAAGTTTACAATTGATATCAGAAATACTATTTTTCGAACCAATGTAACGATGGAAGATATTTATTCGCAAATTAAATGCTAAGTTGGATACTTACGAGTATTTGAAAAATAACAAGAAATTAATAAAATGAGATTTTTCCACTAATAAATTATAAACAAAATTATAATATATACCTAATATTGTTTTATGCCTACAAATAAATGTCATCATAATTAAAGAATAAATTGTTTAATTAAAGAGTAAAATGCAATGACTGCATTGTGCAATGCAATGAAAAAATTTTTTCTTTTATTTTTCAGTTGATAATTTCTATTGTATTTTTTTTTCGTTATTTTTGACGATGATAATTATATGCAAAATTTGTAGTAATTTATAAATATTGGGAAAATATCATGTTTTTTTTATATCATATTATAATATTAAGATCGTCTTAATATTAATATGCGATATCTACTTGTGATTTATTTCATTTTTGTCAGAATTTCTTTGCTGAAATTTATCTTGTTTTTTTATCTTTTAAATGCTTGTCAGATATAATGAAACTTGAAGTTGCGTTACGAATCTATCATTAATTTCGATGGTGAGAAGATGTCGATCAAAGATCGGAAGAAACGAGTATTGACGTTTTCCGCCGATGATTCCCATCTCACGGTATTCACGACGTTAAATTTTCCTTATTCGTTAACGCAAGATGACAGTTGTTGTCGGAAATACTGGTTTTCGCTTGATTGGTAAGTTCTTGCGTCCAAGTAAGTTGTCGTATTAATGCCGAGTATTAAATGTGAACTGACACGTCTGTCGGGAAAAGTTCCACTCTCATTATGGTAGTATGGCAATGGCAACCTAGTTCGTTGATCGATCTCGAAATAGGTACGCATAGAGGACAGCGCATTGCGGCGAAAATGCCGCCGGATAAGTAAGACGAATGCATGTATGCTTACCAAAAACAGAGTAAATCGAATTTTCTTAAAAGAAACAAAAATTACCATAATACAAAGATTAAAGATGAACCTTTTCATATACTTTGTATATGAAAAGGAGATATTTCACAAATAGAATACATGTATCTTATTTATTACTTCTTGGATTGGATCTTGTCGAGTAGAATTGCAAGTTGCAATTAATTTGGAATTGTAAATCCCTTCTTCAGCAGGCATTAGAAGCCAGAATCTTAGCAAGAGTTTTGAGGGTTTCCAATTTTGCTAGAGTAGAAATTGAAATTCCATTTATTGCTATGCATGTTGCTACGTGAGTGTTTTGTATTTGTTTAAGCTACGCTGACAATTTTTCTAATGGAGAAACGCACGTTCGCAATAGCAAATCGGATCATCCTGATATTTAGCACGTGTATAAACCGACACATATCAGTCTAGGAATATAACTGTTGCTCTTGTAGCGAATACGAAGAAAAATATGTCGTTACACGAGCGATCGAATGACAGTATTTTTCGCGTTTGGAAAACTCGACCATGTCTTCACTTGACTTTGATTAAGCGTGATTTGCGAAACAAACTGATTTTTTAATAAATAAAAACGAGAAAAGCGCTCTTCTGTAGTTAACTTTAATCGTAATAATCATAGCAGGCGCTATTTAAATGATTCGAATCTCTCATATCCGGAAATCAGTCTCTGTTTTGCAATATCCGCGTATAAAACTATTCATGCGACTTGTGGCTTTCTCTGTAACATAAACTTAAATTTAATAAAAATATTATTACAAAACTAATTACTCGCACGTTTTATGCACCTAACAACAATCATTAGACTAATAAACTAACGAAATAATATAACAAAACGGACTTGTTTATTTTCATATTAAAAATGCATAGCAATAAAATTAACACGTTAAAGTAATATGATGGTTACAGGATACTTTGCATATCTTTGATGGATATATCTTTAACGTTTGCAGATAATTTAGCCCGTCTGCCGATTTTATTATTGACGCGCCATTTCATTTACTAAACTTTAATATCACTTTACTTATGACAAACGTGTCTTTTTTACTTGTATTCTTACACATGGTTGAGTCTGGTTCAGTAGTGGAATGTCGAGTCACTAGAGATCGAGCGCGATCGTTAGCCTAGTGTCACGCGGCCATTAAGCGAGTTAATAAATAACAATCGTTCTCCAAGAAGGCGTCAGAAAAGTTTGCATGACGACGCGATCGTTCAATAGCGGTAAAGAGAACGGTATGAGATAACAGTGCCAGAGGATTCAACGATTCCGAGTGCTACCGTATAGGACCATTATAGGACTCTGACTATCACGTTCGCGAAACTCGCGACTTGTTAGGAATTGTCATTAAGCTTATGGCACGTGATTCGTGGAATTTAAACGGAGAAAGCTTTACGATCGTGTACTCCAATGACGTCGATAATTACGATCTCGATCGGCGTAAATTTCCTCGTTCCAATCGTGGAAAGTTTGATCGGATGTGCGCAATGCGGCAATTCAAAAGTTACCGATGCAGGATCCAGATATGTTGAAATGTATCATGAATGGAGGGAGGGAGGGGGAGAGAGAGAGAGGGGGGGAGTAAATAAAATATTTAATATGGTATTATACATAATTATAAAATTATATTTGAAATATAAGTACATTTTGAAACATTTTATTTATTAAATGGATTTCGGTGATCTTATTTAATTTTAGCAAATGAGAGTATAATAAATACAAAAGAAGTACAAAAGCAGATACAATAAAGAGAGTAGAATAGCTTTCAATATTAGGTATATTACCTAGCGTTAGGTTTCTATATTTATCCTGTAAAAGGATATGCCTAAATGCAAAACTATTGAAAATACAAAATAATTTCGTCAAGTTTGATGTTTCGTCATCCTTTCTGTTACAGTGAGATTACATGACAGTATACAAGAGGAGAATTTCCATTATCTTGTCTTTGATCTGTAAGTACACCAAACTGTTTGTTTCTAATTGTTAGATCTACCATAATTTGATCTTTTCATATGGTCCTTGTATGATGAGTCTAAATTAATTATTCTGTAGAGCTCGAATGGTAGGTATCGAAATCTCGAACGGTTGCAATCAATTGACGATGCACAATTCAACTGTAAATGTGATTTATTCCATGATATTTTGCAATTGTTATTTAATATTTTCAGAGTTATTACTTGTCGAATCAATTGCAAATCACGCTTCTGTCTAATACTCAATGAAAAGAAAATATTATAATTGGCGTCACTTATCGATGGAAAATTACAGCTACTATATTTGTCCAAAAATATGAAGACTCATTATTTTTCCACGGAATAACTCTCCAAGATTTATAGTCTTTTACAATTCTAGAAACTAGAAATTTAAATCCATCTTTTTATATAAAAAAAAATGTAGTACTCGATTCTCAATCGCCGCGCAATGTTAGGAGCATTGGATACGATCGAGCTGACAATAGACGTGATTCTCGAGTCATCGTGTTCATCTAGTCTCGACTCCATTAACTAGTCTCAGCTCTCGGTAGCGAATAACAGCGAGGCAATTCGTGAACTCTAATTGTATCAAGCAGATCTGCGACCTTTTAAAATCTACACACACGAACGAGAAAGTATCGCGCTTAATTTAATTCCCGTGTAGGAGAATACGCGTCTGCTCCGTTACGTTTACATTCGTAACGTTGATTTATCACATACCGTAAATCTTGTCTTTCTTTCTTGCCATGTGGCAACGTCGTGGCGACTTTGCTAATTTGCCATGCTGCCAATTAAATCCGCAGGTTACGAGGGATTTAATTTCGTCCGTTGGTTTTTTGGCGCAACTTTTTATCAACGCGGCACGCCATTTGCAGCTTCGTCCGCCAAAATTCTAGTGTTAAAGCAGTTATAAAATAATTGCTTTCAATCCTGCGTAATACAGAGCAGCTCTTGCACCGTATTTAAATTTTTAACGCAAACATTTTATTTAAATTGTCATTTCACGTTTCATTTTCTCCGTAAATCATTTGTCACTTGGCTGCAATATGTTTAACGTATGTAGGTCGCGCACGTTATACAACAGCTATGTAATAGCTGTCTTCGTCGATGAGATTTTATCTCTGTTGATCCGTTGTATAATGTTGAGAAGGGTCTTGCTACTTTTTGCACAACAAGTTCGAGTATTGCAAGAGTACGCTTATGTTACGAAGCATTTGCGAAAATTCACGCTACTTTTATTTCCGGGGTTAAGCATCCCGCTACTTGGCGATATTACTTTAGCACGTGACCTCGCGAAATGGAATTGAAACGTAAAACGCTTGCAGAGTCACCGGCGGAGAACTGTTCGAGGACATCGTCGCCCGGGAATTCTACAGCGAGGCGGACGCCTCGCACTGTATTCAACAAATCCTGGAAAGCGTTCACCACTGCCACCATAACGGAGTTGTGCACCGGGATCTGAAGGTATGTAGAGAAAAAGTGAGTTTGTTGAGCGGAGCCGACTTGGCCGAATTGAAATGAAGCGAATGCCCGCGCGCGATCCATTCTCCGACAAGTTTCACCGATCGAAGCTTAAAATTCGCCGACACCTCTTTAAAATCTGGTCTTTAGAACAACTCTGTGATTCAGAGTCGCGTTTATTCCGACAGAGGAATGTTACAATTTATTTTAACGCCGATGAAATCGTACGGGACGCTTGAATCGCATTTGAATTGAACTTTCATTGAAATTTCGTTGGAAGAAGAGCGATAACGACTCGATCGATCAATAATATCGATGGATCTGTGCCATGTTTTGTTACAGCCCGAAAATTTACTCCTCGCGAGCAAGGCGAAAGGGGCGGCTGTGAAATTGGCGGATTTTGGTCTGGCGATCGAAGTTCAGGGCGAAGCGCAGGCATGGTATGGTAAGTTGATCCCAATTTTTCCGGTACCGACGTAATCCGCCCGAAATTGTCGGCCCGACCGAATGGTCGGGATTCTTGTGACAAGATTCTTGTAAGGACAAATGTTAAATCCTGTCCTCTCTTTTGGAACACGAATGTTGGACTGGATGGATCTCCTCCTCACGATCAGATCAAGACTGTTAGGGTAAGGTGACCAAATTCGGATCAGATACCAAATGCGGATCAACAATTTAGTGAGTCGCTAATAAGCGACACTTTTAACTGATTCACTTCAACTTTGCTCTTTTATATATTTACAACTTTATGCTATATTGTCGATAAAAAAGCATCCATGTGTTTTTATGTCGCTTATTAGCGACTCGTCAAATTGTTGGATTTGGTTACCTTACCCTATATGCTGATTAATAGTAGCGAATTATTAATCGTGCAAATTTGAGAGAGAGTATTAAGATTGTTATTCATCAAATATCACAACGGTGATAGAAATATGCGAAAATGACACATCGCGTCGAGATTTGCAGCGAGTTGAGTTTGAACTGATATTTCTTTAAATAAATGAAAATACAATAAAATTTCCGAAATATCGTGGCTCAAGTTACGAACGTCTAAATATCCAACACTACAATTTACAAACGAAACGAAGCTTTCACTTACCCGTCTTGTCAGTCAGTCTTTGTTCGAATATCGCCTATACGGTTGTAACTTATAACATATCATTTTCTTATGGTAGGAAACACGTTAGCGTTAATACAAGCATACTAGAAATGTCAACGACATAAAGAAACTATTGCAAACTTTTTTCTAATGGAACAATTAAATTTAAAACACAACTGTAGAGAAAATGTTATGTATTAATATCCAGGCTTGAGTAAAAATAGTAAAAAATAATATTAACTTTAGTGGGCTTAATTTTGAAATTGCAAGTCTGTATTCTTATCAACTATTTCGTTGTTTCTCGTATCATTTGCGACGTGAACCGTAAACTTGAATCTTTCCGTCTACTTTGTGCCTTATCCGTTTGATTCACGTACATTCTGCACTCGGATATGTCTATACAAACCGGCATACATATTTGCCTGCCAGCCAGCTGGCTGGCTACTCGATTTGTTCGCCTTTATGCAAAAATACTCGTGGGGAAAGTTTTCCGATAGCACGGTGAACTCTTCCGCACACACCACGCAGGCAGTTCCATAGAAAAATCTTGGCTTGATTTTAAATTCTTTATCGAATTCGGAGACAGTCTTGCCGTGCGTGCCATTTATATTTAACGTCAAATATCTCTCAAGTATTTAGGACTCGTTTAATTTACATCAACAGTTTAATTACTTTGCCAGAGTGTTTTGGCGTTTTGCAAAGTTCTTCAAATTTTTACTTAATCGATCAAAATAACTATCATAAAATTGTGTTCGAGTTTTCTGAGACATTCCGTATGGAGGTATATCGATATGCATAACCCGGGAATATTTGTTTCTCTCTTTTATCTCCACAATCGATTTTTTTCTAGGCGGTATTGAAAACACCCATGTCAAGAAATGAATATTTTTCCACGCATGGAAATTACTTTGGTGATACAATTAAAGCGCGAAAAATGCATAATTCAATACATTTAAATTGTATACGTATGTTACAGTAGTTATTCATACCATTGGTAAAAATAAAAATTTTGTTTATATTTTCTTATTGTTAGTTTATCATATTTTCCGAGAATGGTCATTGATCGATACTTACCAAGACAGATTAGAAAAAGTAATGAATTGTTTCATCTTCATATTCTTTATGGATTACGATTTGTCTACATTTGTCCTTAAATAATCGTATTTTGTCCACCTCTCAAAAATTTAAATAAAAAATGTTATCACGAGCGGTCGTTTTTTGACTTTTCATGCGAAGCGAGGTACACTCTATACCGACCCCTGTTTTCGGAGCGAAACTACTTCCACATCGGTATGGAACCCATGTATAATACTTGCGCCCCGAAAGTAGAGGTCGATGTGGTGTGGATCTCGCTTCGCGTGGAAAGTCGCAAATCCAGGTGAAACTGTACAACGGTGGCAGAGTATAAAGATGAAACTAATTTATTACTTTTACCAACAATGGTTGGTAAATATGCAAAATTATTTATGCATGACCAATTTCGTACAGAGCAGCGATAGATTTTGTAATTAATACAAATGACATATGTATGGGTATGAGATATACACAGATGTGACGACATATATAAATATTCAATCCAAAGGAAATGTCACTCTGTTCTTGCAAGCGAATTTTTCATGACATTTCTTTGTACGCTTGTTATCACGTCGACGTCTATAACCATATACTGTTTGTTTCTCGAGAGATTTACCATGTGCGAAAACATTTTAGCGAATGGATTGCAAAATAGTATATCGTGCCAAAGGATTTAACGTGATCGCTGTCGAATATTTTCGAGGGCAACCATAGACAGTCAAATTACGTAATCGTGGTTTTGTTGCGCTAAAGCAAATGCATCCCGACCACAGTATTGGTTATATTGTACAACATCAGCGTATGCTTATCAGAACGCGATAAAATTGCCCATTGCAAAAATAAAAAAGAAATCCCGAGAGCTATCCGAGAGCTCTCACGACGGCACGTGATTATTCGAGTTACGTATATATTTTGCATAATCGCACAAATTTTACTCGCCGCACTTCTATTTCCTTTTTCATTATCGCGCCATCATTTATAGGATTTTGGATACGGGTTCTTGTCGTTTCACAGAGATTAAGAAATAAATTTCACGTATTGCGGCAATAAATATCTATTAACTTTCGTAACAGCATATGACGTCAATTCAATCGACAATAATTAGCATGACAATCCGTAATTTACATTACAACTGCAGATAGAGATGCTTTTTTCATCAATTGTAATAGCTATTGTACAAACTGTTTAAATATATGTTTTAATGAAAATAGATACAACCTGCATTGCGCCGCCGATTATCTCAATTATCAATATTATAACGATATCGATTGAATGAGACTGTTACTGAATTTTTCCAACAAAATTGTTTGTAATAAATCAACAATCGAGAACGCGGTAAAAGTTTGCGACTGTTGTGTGTGCTTTTTGAATAAGGAGAATTAATTTAAGCGTCGAATTTGTGGGGGTGGGGGGAAGTAATACTCGGGACGTGATTTCGCGCACGTAACGCTCTGATCCCTTCATTTCGCTTCGAGAGAGAATGAACCTGAGTGATTGATAAAAAGGTTTCGCTGGAACACCCGGGTACCTCAGCCCGGAGGTACTGAAGAAGGAGCCATACGGGAAACCAGTCGACATATGGG